TATTTTTACCTGTGCGTGTCTCCTCGTTTTCTAACTCGAACAGTTTACAACGGGATTTGTTACCTCGAACTGGAAACCACAGAGAAGAGAGAAGAGGTGAAGAGAAAGGAATGCACAATATTTGTCATAGAATTAATTCACATTTTATTCTTATACATTTTTCTTAATACAGGATTTAACTTGGTACACAGAGATATGATGATCTAGCGATTTACGCTTACATTGACAAAAGATTTTCTTATACATTCGTACAATCAACTGATTGTTTCGTTCGCAATCATTGGTAAACGAACTGTTAAATTGCCCGAGATTATAAACCCGACACATAAAGTAAAGAAAAACACAGCAATAATGACTACAAATCGTCGATAAGAGTCCCTGTAGCTGAAAGGTATTCCATTGATAAGTGACGGAATTTCTTCTAAGACGCAGGAGAAATCGTGAGTCCCAGGGTGGCATCCCGTAGCTGTCGAAGTATGTGGCCGCTCCATTCCGATCGACGTAGAATGCGACCCAGTGCTGTTCCGGACGATCATGATTGTCCGTATTAGCGACTACTGTCGTCGACCTCGTCCACACCCTCGGTAGTCTGTCGGCTGGATAGACTGTGTATCTAGCATTGAGATGTTGCAATGCATGTTGAATTTCAAACGAATTCATTTTATATAATTTCGTTTACCTCTGGTAACGCGATTGTTATAGTCTTCGATGGCTCGATGGAATGTTCCAACACAGTATCTCGTTTTTCTCTTCTTCAACCGGCGACTGTTCGCTCCCTGATTTGTCGGAATAACTATTTTCTCTGTCTTCCTCATCAATTTTGAAGGACACCGGGTCATATAGATATTGTCGCGTTTCCTGATGTTGATTTGACTTTGTTCGATGAACCAGTGTTTCAATTTGTATGCATTGTGTAATGCATACCAGGTGTATGCATAAGTGTTTTCCGGTTTAACTAAGAGATGGCGCCAGCGAAAAGTACGCAGCGTATTAATTTCATACATACGTCATTTTGTTCGTCTGACATTAAACTACAAACACACACAAGTTGAGTCCGTCAAAAACTAGCGTCTTTGTTTTATCGTTCAGTGATCATGTCGAGTTTTGTGCCTGAAAAAGAACATTTGCGGCACGCATTGCTTTTTTTATTTAATCAAAAGAAAAAGGCTGCTGAAAGTCAACGTTTGCTGGTAGAAACATATGGTGAACACGCTCCATCGATTAGAACATGTGAGACATGGTTTCGACAATTTAAAAGTGATGATTTTAATGTGAAAGATAGTGAGCGCTGGTAGACCACAAAAATGCGAAAACGAGCAATTGCAGGAGTTATTGGATGATGACCCAACTCTAACTCAACGGCAATTAGCAGAAGCATTACATGTGTCACAAGAAACAATCAGCAGACGTTTACGAGCAATGGGGAAGATCAATAAACTCGGTAAATGGGTCCCACACGATTTGAATGAACGTCAAATGGAAAATCGCAAAGTCACTTGTGAAGTGCTGCTTCAACGCCACGAAAGGAAATCATTTTTTCATCGAATTGTGACGGGTGACGAAAAATGGATTTATTTTGAAAACCCGAAGCGGAAAAAATCGTGGCTTTCACCTGGCGAAGCCGGTCCTTGAACACCAAGGCCAAATCGCTTCGGCAAGAAGACCATGCTCTGTGTCTGGTGGGACCAGAGCGGTATTGTGTATTATGAACTCTTGAAGCCCAGCGAAACCGTTGATACACAACGCTATCGCCAACAAATGATTAATTTAAACCACGCATTAATCGAAAGACGACCGGAATGGGCCAGAAGACATGGCAAAGTGATTTTGTTACACGACAATGCATCGTCTCACACAGCAAAACCAGTGAAAGAAACCTTGATATCGCTTGGATGGGACATCCTTCCGCACCCGCCGTATTCGCCAGACCTGGCGCCATCCGACTATCACCTCTTCGCATCAATGGGGCGCTCGCAGAGCAGCACTTCAGCAATTTCGAGGAAGTTGGAAAATGGCTCGACGAATGGTTTGCCGCAAAAGACAAGCAGTTTTTCTGACATGGTATTCATAAGTTACCTGAAAGATGGGCGAAATGTGTAGAAGCCAATGGCCAATATTTTGAATAAAACAAAAATTAATTTCCCTTGAAAATTACGTGTTTTTTTGTACCAAAAAACCGGAAAAAACTTATGCATACACCTGGTAATGATAATGTCTGTGTTTTCTAAATGTGTGGAATGAGCAGGCTTCTATTTGTTCACTGGGTGAAAGATCACTGGACGTCGACGAGATATTCTCCAGATTGTACACGTTTCGCGCTAACAAATTTTGCAAGTAGCTCGCTTTCTCCTTGCCTTTTGTCATGAAGACACGAATATGACTCGTAATTTCACACAAGCGCGGATAAAAATGTTTTGGATTAGTCTCCCCATCGTACCACTCGATTCCATGATAATTCAGCGAAAGCCAATTATTTATCCGTCTTGATTTTTCGTTCAGTTTCGCAAATGAATACTGTTCGCCTTTTGGCTAAGCGAACAAGAGACCGGGACCGCTCAGCAATGAGCGCGGGGTGCGAGTAGAAAGGAAGACACTGCCCTTTGAGTTTCGCGGGATCGTTCCCTTTTTTCTTCTTTATTCCCTCCTCGGGTTCGAGGTTCGTCGAGATGCTGGGAGGCCCTCGCAGGTGGAAACGCGAGCATCACTCGAACCCGCGAGCCCAAATTTTATTATAAAAAAATACAAAATAAATTGTAACAAGGTTTGCTGAAGACGAGCGTAACACGTCCGTTCGAATTACAATGCATTGAGGCCGCAACCGCACTTCGTACGATGAGGCTCGACCAGATCGGGCGAGTAGCTGATTTGACTGCGAAAAACGGAGCGGAACGAAAGCGAAATTTTACTTGCAATCGGTATCGTGCGCAGGTAAGATTTAATCGGAGACAGGAACTGAAAACTGTTCCTCACTTCGATCTTACATTTATTTTTAGGTTTTATGTCGCTCGGAGATGATACGTTAACCGCTATTGTTTAAAACGTTGTCAGGCTATTGGCGGTCACACGCGGCCAAACAGTGATAACAGCAACGCGGTGTCCTTTCGCAGAACACGCACGGCGTGCTCACGCGCGAGTCACGCCGAATATTTCGTGGCGTCGAAGATCCTCGATTTCGTCGAAACAAAGAGCGACGATTTGGTCGGATCGCAAATAAATATTCTGGAGCTAAGATTCAATGTCCGACAAATGCCTCATTAATACCGACAATAGCCACCTCCTTGAGCACATAGATATCGTTGCTATCGCGGAAGCACTGCACTTCGATGATCATATCCATGTTCTCGCTGTATTTGCAATTCTGCTTTGCCGAAACTATACTCTTTACGGCTCGAAGTCGACTGACAAGGGAACGGTCGGGGGCGTCCTTCACCAATTTGAATGGGCATTGGATATGTTGTAGAGGATCAAAAAATATTAGACACGTATTTTTTTATATGTGCTTATTTCGAGGTTTAGGAGTTGAAATCACCCCTTGAAAAAAACGGATTTTTTCGTTTTTATCAAATATCTTTTAAAATATGAGAGATATGAAAACATAGTAAATGTAAGAGTTTTACAGTATTTGATGCTCTTTGCACCTGTCAATTCAAATTTTTCAAAATATCAAATTTCCCTCCCCGCTCCCCCCTCCACTCATTATTTTCGCAAATTTTAAAAATTTTATAAGAACAGAAATTAAAGAGCATTAAATTCCGAATCCAACCATATATAATAATGTTACTTTGCGAGATAAGGACTTTTCGAAAAATAGATGGAAATGTCCGTGTATACTCGTAACACGCTATGCACAGCGTCTACCTTACTCGGTAATATACGCAACACGTCCTCTTCGAATTTCTTTCGAATAATAGGCGATTAATACTGATACAGAGAATATATAATCATAAAACATTTCAATATATAATAACGTTATTAATAACAATCATAGATTTATACACAACAATATTTCTATGCTTCGTGTTTATAAAAAGATATACGTATACGCTCTATGAAAGTTAGATTTTATGTATAATAAGTTTGTATGTCTATTTTTGTGGTGGTTGACGTAAGTACTACGACGGAAGTGATACATGAATTGCAAAATCAATCATGTTTATTAACGCGGCGTTTTCATCGAATCTATGACACGTGAAAAACGCCGCATTCATGAAATCATACGTGATTGCATAATTATGGGTGCGTTCACGTTGGACGCTCATGCGCTTTAAGCGCTTACAAGCGTCGCTCAGACCGTTTTCTTTGGCGCTATAAGCGCTTAGAGAAGCATTCGTAACATCACTGATGACGTCATAAATACTGCTCACAAACGCTTATTTCACGGAGGTAGGGCAGCATGAGCGTAAGTGTTTGAGCGTGAGCGTCCAAAAAGAACGCATGTAAACGAGCGGAAGAAAACCTAACCAATGTGACGAATATTATTTTTTTCATTGAATACAGAAAAGAAAAATGGAAGATAAAGTTAAGCTAACCTTGAAAAACGCTGAAAATGATCAGCTGTATAATATTTTTGTTTCTCCAGAGGAAGCAGAACGCTTAGAAACCGGTAAGTTTATTATATGTAAATTACTTTTTTTTTCTTTTGTTAATGCTGTTACTGAATATTGTGATTAACATTGTCTATTTTCACGTTTGCTATACTATTATTTGTATCTTTGCTTTTACATTGTTATTTGCATGCTTGCAATTTACAGATATGATTTTTGCTACTGAAAAATTGCATGAAGCAATGAAAAAATATGGTATGTTTGGTTGATATGGGGTAATTAGATTGAGTTACTTTAATATATAATAATATAACAGTTTTTATGTATAATGGTAACTAATATATAACAAAATATATATCGTTTTGTAAATTTACTCCTATAATTATCTTAATTTAGATGAGAGTAACAGCAGTATCGCAGACACTGAATTGGAACACTTTGACGAAAATTAATTAGATGAAAAACAAGGAGAAGAAGATAAAAGTAATATGCAATATCATTTTTAAGTAAATTATATGTAACTTTTGAATTTTTTAACTGAATATTATTTTAACAGTATTCAGATGGCCACATGAAGCTATTCTTTTATTAATTGAAGAATATCGTTTGCGGCAAAACGATCCCAGTAGTGGAAAAATGTCTCAAAAAAAAATTTGGGCATTGATTGCGGAAGAATTAAGAAAACACATGTATAATGTTACGGGGCCTCAATGTTTATCCAAATTATCTGGCCTAAAACGGACTTACAAAGCTATCGTAGACCACAATAATAAGTCGGGCAACTCAACAAGAACAGGGTCATATCTTTCTGTAAGTCATTATCTTAAAATAACTGATATTATTATGAAAAATATAAAATATAAATTTATTTAACATTTTTCTAGCTTATGAACGAGCTACTTGGCTCAAAGCTATTTATGTCTCCAATAAGCACAGTATCGTTAACTGGAAAAAGATCTAGATCACCATCTTCTGAATGTAGTACATCCAGCTTTGATAGTTGCTCGCATAAAGAAGAAAATTCACAACCTAGTAGGTTAATTTATTATGATTATGTAGAATGTTTCATTTAATAATCTTAATTCAATTATGATTTTTTAATTCATATAGAACTATTATAACTACATATGACTTTAAAATAATAGTATTAGTGTTCAAGATTTTAGTAATGTCAGTAAGATAGTTTACCTTTAAATGTATTAATTTTTTATATATTTCTGTTTTGTAGAAAAAGCTCGACATACATCTAATGTGGAAAGATTAGTGCAAACTTTCAAAGATGAAAGAAAGATCGCAGAAGAAGCTGAACAAAAAAGACATGAAGAAAATGTACAGTTACGTCAGAAGTTGTTAAATTCGTTTGAAACAATGTTGAACATATTGGAAAAAAAATAAATTGGCATTATATATAAGTAATCTTAAAAAAACATTGTAAAACTTTATTATATATAAGTAATCTTAAAACATTGTTTTTAATTATAGTTTATTGTTTAATATAGCCCCGAAATGATACAAAATGTACATGACTGTGATATAATGTATGAAAATGACAAATAAATGATACATGTAATCTTTACGCATTTCGCATTATTAAACTATTATAAATTACATCTCGTTTCATAAGCCCTGCATTATTTCCTGCTCGGTTTATTAACGGAATATCATTATTATCTTCTATACAATTTAATTCCATAATCAAAATTTCATTATTGCGTAACAAATAAATATTATGTAAGGTACAGCATGTAAGGTACATGCAATGATGAACTCTGGAATTAAATCGATATGTTCCATATCAAGTACTGTTAGCAGACTTCGAAATCTTCCTTTTAGTAACGCAAATGCTCTTTCAATTGTAATTCGAGTGGATGCATGACAAAAATTATAGTTTTTCTGTCTAGCTATCAGATGACCGTTATCACGATATGGCGTCATTAGATTTTTGTGAAGAGTATAGGCTGCATCACCCACTAAATGACTGTCATTAGGAAATTTGTTTACGTCATCCAAATATGTATGAACCTCAGATAAACGAAATACCCGTTGATCGTGAACAGAACCAACATGACCAGCAAGACAATAAATAAATTGTCGCTTATGATCACAAACAGCCTAATAATAAATATGAAATTATAATTCGTGATATAGTTATTAAAAAACAAAAAAGATTAAAATAATATGAATTACTTGTAATTGTATACTATGATGTCCTTTCCTGTTAACATAAGATTCGGAATTGATGTGTGGTGCTTTTATATTTATGTGTGTGTCAATCGCTCCTATTATTCGAGGAAAGCCACTGACTGCAGCAAATCCTGCATGTATTTCATCTATTCTATCATTCTGTGGCCAATTAATGAAGCAAGGAGTAAACTTCACAATTACTTTTGTCACTCTTCTTACAGCATTTAATGCTGTAGATCCTCCAACATTAAATTTTTCACAAATAGATCTAGATAGATAAATATCATATTATTAAATAAAATAAATTCTATGCATACATATAGATAAAATAATAATTATAAATTAAAAATATATTACATACCGATATGAATCAGGAGTGGCTATTTTCCAGATAGTAATCAGAAATTGTTTTTCTGGTGATATCCTCCTATATCCAGATCTTGCTCTTATTAAATAAGGTTTTATAATATTTAAAATATAATAAAAAGTTGATCATTCCATTCTGAAAAGAAAAAATCAATTATATATATTATTATATATATATATCATTTTAGAACATAAAAAAATAAACTCTCTTATTACTTTAATATATAATATACTTATTACTTTAATATATAATTAATAATTATGTACCTATATACATTATAAATATATATTGTAAATATATATATGAATTTTTCTTATTTTCAAAAATGAAATTGTTTAAAAATATTTATATAAGAAATATATAAACCTGAAATGTGTTTTAAATTGTTCGTCACTATAACATTGTACAATTTCTTCCACATAACCTCATAACCGCAGCGGAGTATTTTTAATAGAATATTTTAGAATAAACATAAAATTATCGAATTTTTTATATGTAATAGAATTCTTATCGTCTTCAAATAATTCTAATAGAATTAATGCTTGCGCAAATAATATAGGCAATTACTTTTTATTTATGTTTGTCATATTAATACTGTTCATAAACGCTTATTAATGTTAAAACGAACAACATTAGCATCAATAACGTGAACACTCACAAACCAAACCGAACGGTTATTATTAACGCTTGTAAGCGTTAACGCTTAAAGCGCATGAGCGTCCAACGTGAATGCACCCTAGCATCAACAACGTGAGCGCTCACAAATCAAACCGAACGGTTACTATTAACGCTTGTAAGCGTGAGCGCTTAAAGCGCATGAGCGTCTAACGTGAATGCATCCTATATCTAATATGATATTGATAACGTAATTATTTTCACGCACACGCACCACATATACCAGGTATGTCGGTAATTACTTTCCGGTTTTGTAACAGATATCACTAGCCATAAGTATGCAATGTTATGATTTGATACATATGTCATTTTATTCTACTGACATTAACCTCAAAACTACACAAGTTACGTTCCGCCAAAATAACAGCGTTAGATTAATAAGCGTAGATTAATAATTTTTTAAAAATGTCGAGCTTTGTGCCTGAAAACGTGCATTTGCGGCACGCATTACTTTTCTTGTTTAATCAAAAGAAAAAAGCCGCTGAAAGTCATCGTTTACTGGTAGAGACTTACGGTGAGCATGCCCCAACCATAAGAACATGTGAAACATGGTTTCGACAATTCAAATGTGATGATTTCAACGTTCAAAAAACGTCCTGGTAGGCTGAAAACGTTTGAAGATGCGGAATTGCAGGTGTTATTGGATGAAGACCCAACACAAACTCAAAAACAATTGGCAGAAATGCTGAATGTGAGCCGAGTAGCAATTTGTGAATGATTACAAGCGATGGGAAAGATCCAAAAGATGGGAAGATGGGTGCCACATGAATTGAATGATAGGCAATTGGAAAATCGAAAAATCGTCAGTGAAATGCTGCTTCAAAGGTATGAAAGGAAATCATTTCTGCATAGAATAGTAACAGGTGATGAAAAATGGATTTATTTCGAAAATCCCAAGCGAAAAAATCATGGTTATCACCTGGCGAAGACGGCCCATCGACTGCAAGGCCAAATCGCTTTGGTCGCAAGACCATGCTCTGTGTCTGGTGGGACCATGTTGGTGTCGTATATTATAAACTGTTGAAACCTGGAGAAACAGTTAATACTGATCGCTACCAACAACAAATGATCAATTTGAACTGTGCATTGATCGAAAAACGTCCACAATACGCTCAAAGATATGATAAGGTGATTTTGCAGCATGACAACGCGCCGTCTCATACAGCAAAATCAGTCAAAGAAGTGTTGAAATCACTTGGATGGGAAGTTTTATCGCACCCGCCGTACTCTCCAGACCTGGCTCCATCCGACTACCACCTTTTCGCATCGATGGGGCACGCGCTTGCAGAGCAGTACTTCGCCGATTTCGAAGAAGTTAAAAAATGGCTCGATGAATGGTTTAGCTCAAAGGAGAAACAGTTCTTTTGGAATGGCATCCATAAATTGCCTGAGAGATGGGCAAAATGTATAGAATCAAATGGCCAATACTTTGAATAAATATATTTTAACTATCCATTGTAAATAACGTGTTTTCTTTAGCGAAAAAACCGGAAAGGAATTACCGACACACCTGGTACACATACACGTCTACAATCGTGAAAGTGTTGTGCCGTCGTATTATTGTCATATCTTCTTTCCATTCTGTTGTAACGCTCCGCCCTGCCGCCGCTCGTCTCTCCTCGCTCCATCCTCGCGAGTGTGACGAGTCGTGGGTCGGAGGGTCTAGGTTCGTTTCGGTCTCCATCGGTCTCCCGCCATCGCCCGTGCCTTCTTGCCGCGAACCGTCGGACGAGTGTTCGCTGCGGGATTTTCGGGAAGGATTTAAATGAATTCACTGATTTCAATTTAGCTCGGTTCTGCCGAGAAATTCTCCGAGTTTCTCGCTCGGCTGTACAGTGGTTTTATTTGTTTCTGTTCTTCTTACACTTCTTATTTGCCATACACCTGTCCGCGTAGCAGAACGATTATTGATACAGCTCACGCTGGTAGTCTTTCGACGTTTCGCGACGAAAGGTTGAATTTGCTTCGGGCAATGTTTACCAAGTCGCAAGCCGCGGATCTCGACCGGACGCGTGCTCGAGATCTGTCACCAGTTGACGAGGATCGGCTGTGCTTCACCGGCGGAACAATAAGATGCACCTGATTCCCGGAAACGTGAAATAATGAGAATGATACACCCGCGATAAACTTGGGATAATGGTTAATTTCGCCGTTTCTTTCGAATCAAGACTGGGCGGTGATACTGTGCGATATTATCCGGCTCGAAAGAGGCGCTGGTAAATGATAATATTCGGCGTGATACACTCGGATATCGCGAGCTCCGAGACCCGTGAAAATGTTTGGGCGCGTTGATTGCGTCAGAAGCAACCGCGCAGGCGATCGAGGCTCGATATTCGTACGGTTAATATTAGGTCTGGGAAAAAGTTCGTGGCGTTTTTCCCGATAGATGGCGTCAATTGCAAATAACTCAGGAAACACAGATCGCAGCGACACCACTAAACGCTCGTTGGAAAGGTGACACTTCGAGCGTTACTTTGAGTCTATAAACATCGAAATTGGTGCAGTGGTTGGAAAGTTGTTTGCTTTTGTAAATGGAGAAAAGTAATGAAAAATTGCGCTATATTTTGCAATATTATTACGACAAAGGGAAGAACGCTGCGCAGGCTTGTGAAAAAATTTGTGCTGTGTATGATGAAGGTACTTTATCAAAATCTGCTGCGCGGAAATGGTTCGCTCGCTTTCGTTCTGGTAATTTTTATGTGAAAGATGAGTCACGCTCTAGTCGTCCAATCACTGAAAAAGCTGATGAAATGCTTGAAAAAGTCCAGCAAGATAAGCATATCAGCAGTGTCGATATTGGTATGGAGCTAGGCATTGACCACAAAACTGTTTTTGAACCATTTACACAAAGCTGGCTACAAAAAGAAACTCGATGTATGGGTTCCTCATGAGTTGAGCGTTAAAAACATGATACACCGAATTAACATCTGCGATGCGCTGCTGAAACGCAATGAAATCAAGCCATTTCTGAAACATGTCATAACCGGCGATGAAAAATGGATCACGTACGACAATCGGAAGCGTCAAAGATCATGGACAAGGGTGAGCCGTCACAAGCGTTCGCGAAGCTAGAATTGACGCCGAAAAAGGTGATGCTGTGTGTGTAGTGAGACTGGAAGCGAATTGTTTACCATGAGCTACTTCCAGTTGGTCAGACGATTGATTCTCAA